ACTTAATTTCCTGATCTCTATTGGGAACATTATTTATGTCTGCTATCATAACTGTCATTTTCCTGATTGCTTTGGAACCATGCCTTATGATGATAGCTGTAACAGTCATTTACTTAATCTCTTTTAGATTATTCTTAATGCCTATAGCCATGACTATCTTTTTTTATCATTTTGGGGCTATTCCTTATGATTGTCATTATCATATTCAACAATTTCTGTAAATTTTTCTCTCTTTTTCAGTATTACACACCAGTTTTCTGTAACTGTCACAATTTCTTTTTGAAGAAATTCCTTTTCTGGAATGGTCACAATTGCTATTTGAAAAAGTTCCTTTCTTGGAAGAGCCACAATTTTTTTTGAAAAAAGTTTCTTTCTTCATCTGCCATTATAGCTATGATTACTTGCTCTATTATTATATAAATGAAAGAGCAATACACCAAGTGACATTGGGATACAAAAATACAAAGCCCAATGTACCCATCCTAATAATCAGTCATATAAGTGTATACCAGGTACACGCATCACAGTCAAATTATGGTGACAGGTTTTGGTAAAAGCATTATCTAACCTTGCAGGTGGGGCTGCTAAATATACCTTTGGTTTGGGTAACCCAGTCTGCACAGACAGTTTCTGAGTGAGGGTGTTCCCAAGTATCTAGATATGAAATCAACTTAGCTGTCTCAGCCTTCAAAACTTCAAAAATACTTTCTTAACATCTGTCCATTTTCTCCTCTACTATGTACATTCATTAAGGGACATGCTCAAATGTTTACAGTCAAACAACTCATAAGGTAATATGTGATACTAAATAAGATATTTACTGAAACCAATTTTGATTCTCCAAAACAAAACATGTAAATATTGATAGTAATGTTAATGTTAATGGCAATGGTATTATTAAGCATTTCTTTATAAGGAAATATTTGGCATTGATTGACTAAGCAGCCACTACTACTGCCAGTTAAAATTTATAAAATCTTAAAACAATTTTTTAGGAAAATAGGTTTCTCAAGTCTGGTAATTTTTATTACTCTTCCTAGTTCTTTTTGTTTTTTTTTTGGTGGGGTCTTTCTTTTTAACCTGACTTGAGATTAGTGCTTTGAATTTGTAGCAATTTATAGTGTTGGGTGAAACAATTTCTAATGCAGCCTATTCTATGTTCAATTTCCTTATCTCCTATACTAAATGTGTTATAAATGTGATCCATACACCAAGGTATTTGAAGTGTTTAGCATTTATGAAATTCACATGCTGAATTTTTATAATGGATTCAGGGTAGGTGCCATCAATGCTTTCATTCCAATTCCAGATGTTTCTGTTTTGGAAAGGTTTATCTTGAGTTCTATTTTTTTGGAACACTTGATATAGAATGTTGATTTCCTGTTCAAGATCATTCTTTTCCTATGAACACCTATGTCATCAACATAGCTCCTCTGATCATCAGTACATTGGTCTCAGAAGGGAAAGCAGTATTGTTGTCTTCTATTAGCTCTTTCGTTTAGGGTGTAGAATGGAATGCATAAATGATCAGTGCCCATCTCTTCAGATCTGTAAATGTGCAGGGCATACCTCCAATTAAAATCAGAAGTCATGACTGGTGCAATATAATTAAGGCTTTGTACTAAACTACTCTAAGCTCAGTAATATCTACTAATATTACCATAATAGTGGTTATTACTATCAGTTCATCTCATAAGTTCTGTCCGAATTTTAACTTTTTGTTAAAATGAACAAAATGTAAAGAGTATTTTATAATGTCTAATGGAGCTGAACATTATTTTTATGTTTAGATGCATTTAAACTGATCAAATTTTATTTCAGAGAACAATAAAATTAAATTTTGTTTAATTAAAACATGCTAACATGGAAGTATCCAAGAATCCTTTGAGGCACATAATGCTTTATGTGTTCAAGAAAGGAAACTCAGCAGCCGAAGCAGCTAGAAACATTCACTCAGTTTATGGAGAGGAATGTGTGAATGAAAGAACTTGCAGAAGATGGTTTGCAAAATTCAGAGGTAGAGATTTCACCCTTGAAGATGACGTCGAACCAGACGTCCAGTTGAGTTTGATGAAAAGCTTCTTGAAGCAGCTCTTGAAGAAAATCCTGCTTTATCAGTTGAGGAATTGGCAGTGGTTCTCAGTTCAAACTATACAACTGTTCATCGTCATCTTCAACAACTTGGAAAACTTCCTAAACTTGGAAAATGGGTACCTCATGAATGGTCTGAAAACAACCTCAAATCCCAAGTTGACATCTGCTCTTCTCTCCATTCTCGCCAACTTGTTTCATCTTTTTTGGATAGACTGGCGACGAAAAATGGATCTTTTATCGAAATGTTAAGCGTTGTAGACAGTGGTTTGGTAAAGGGGAAAGACCCCAGCCACAGCCGAGAAGGGAACTTCATGGGCAAAAGGTTCTTCTTTCAATCTGGTGGGATCGCCAAGGAATAATCCACTTTGAATTCTTACCACCTAATGCAACAATTAATGCTCAAATATACTGTCAGCAATTAGAGCATTTGAACCAAGCTTTGAGGAAAAAAAAACCTGCTCTAGTGAATCGAAAAGAGGTGATGTTTCATCAGGACAATGTGCAACCCCACACAGAAAGAATCACGTCACAAAAGACCGAAGAACTTGGTTGGGAGAAAATTTGTCATCCACCTTATTCTCCCAATCTTGCCCCTTCAGACTACCATTTGTTTCTTGCTTACAGAATCATTTGGAAGAAACAGCTTTTGTAACACAGAAAGAGGTTAAAACTGACATTTGTGAGTTCTTCGAATCAAAGCCAAAAGATTTTTACAGTAATGGAATTAGTAAGCTTGTTAATAGATGGAAGGAAGTCATAGATAATCAGGGAAAATACATTGTTGATTGAATCTGTAATTAAATGTAATATTTGGTCACTTGCTTTCTTTATTCAAAATTCTGACAGAACTTATGGGATGACCTGATATATACCCATAATGCTACTATTACAATCAACATCACCATTACTATTAATATTATGACTATTTCTATAATAAGTGCTTCTACAATCCTCTTATATATACCATGCTCTTTCAGGATGTAGGTGATCATGGCTCTCTGCAACTTTCTATCCTTTGTAACCCTAAGCAATGTTTGTCATTTTACTATCCTTCCTCCTCCACTCCCTGTTCTGCCATTATTTACACAAGCTTGTTAGGTAGGTTGATTATAGCTCTCCACAACTACCTATCCTTTGTAGTTCTATGCAATGTTTGTTACTATCCCTCCCACTTCTTGTCTTACTATCCATTTACAAAAGCTCATTATGTAGGATAGTCACTGTTTCTCCCTGCCACTCTTCTGTCGGTGTGTCCTTTAAATATCAAATGCTCTAAGCCCTTTTTTTCAAATATGCATTTCAGAAATTTTCTTTTCCCGATTCTTTCTTTTTATTCCTATTTCCTTTAAAACAACCTCATTGCTCACATGTTCCATCCATGGTATTCTCAGTATCCTTCTGTAGCATTACATTTCAGCTGCCTCATCTTCTCTTTATCTGTGAGGAAACTGTCTAATATTCACTGACATATAGGAGGACAGCCAATATTATATAACTGTTCAGAACTCTTTTCTTTGTTTCTAAAGAAATTTTCCTGTTTCTTAATACTTTTGAAGGCAGCTTTTGCCATTTCAATTGTGCCTTCAGATTTCTATATTACAATTTCAATAGTCTTAAAACAGTTAAATCTCTGTACTTGATTTTGATGTCTTTAGTTCATAGCGCACATCATGGACTATTCCTCTTACTACCATTAATATGACATAATCTTAATTACTTAAGAAAAGATGTATAGGGATGCAAAGAGTGAGTATCCATGAATTCATGAGGGTCAAGTGACATCCAGTGAGTGATGTCAGTTCATACAGTGATAAACCCCAATTGCTTATGTAGACCACTAGGACAATAGACACTACAGCAGTAGGGTGAACAGAGAAATCCATATGGTCCCACCAAGAACATAGATGACACCACTGACATGTCAGTTTTCCCTTTGGAAAATATTACAGGTAAAACCCTCTTGCTTTTCACACTGCTTGTTTTATCTATATATGTTATAGTTTCTCTATGTGGGACAAATAGTGACAGGTATATACATATTTGCATGAAATTTCTTGTATGACAGCAATATAAGAAATTTCTTTGAGAACAATCCATGATTCTTATTTTTTTCCTTCAGTTATTCTGTTCCTTCTTTTTATTATATTAAAGTGTTTGTATATCACAGATATACTAATGCTTATAATGGATCGTTTAAATATTCTCTCTTTACTTTTAAGCAAAAGAAGCAAAAGATTTTAAGAAATTAGAGATATAATCAAACTGAAATTCTAAAATACTCTAAGAAACAAGTATATTTTTTAAACCTTGGTGTCAGTTGTTTTTCACTTTGAGAAATTATTAGTATTTTTATTATTAGTATTTTTAAGAGACATTAAAAATATAAGGCACCAGTTTTACACAGGTTTATAAGAAATTAAATACCAATAGCCTTGATCTAAGAAGTGTTTCCATTTTATCCAAATACATCTGACATTTACAAATAAAACAAAAAGATTTGATATTAATTGAGATTTACTAAGTTTAGCAGAGGCCTATATATGGAAAGTGGTAACCATGGTAAAGTTCACCCCTATGTAAATATCTGACACCCTACCAAAAGTATTTGGAAGGAATTTAACTTTTAACAATTTTATTTGAGGTGGTTTGATTGATTATTTTTATGGCTTATCAATCTTTTGCAGGTTATTTAGAGCCATGAAATACTTTTAGATTGCAAGAATTTTCTTTAGAAAATACTGATTTAGTGATATTAGTTCTACTAATTAACCCATAGCTGGGGAGAAGAAGTGAATTCATACCTTTCCTAAGATTATTTGCATGTAAGTGAAAATAATGAATCTGACTGGAATTGGAACTCAGTTTTACTATTCTTAGCTTTTATCTATTACATTACCTGCACATCTCACCACCTGGTATTTACAAGTGGTCACTCATCTAGGTACTGCCCAAGCTTGATATTGCTTAACTTCAGTGATCATACAAGAACCAATGTTTCAATGTGATATGGCCATAAACATATTTGAGGAGGATTTAAATTTTGACTATATAATGGTACCATATAAACATATGCTTTTACAAGATTATCTCAACACAATTATCACAAAAATGAAATCATTTTAAGTACATGACCTCAGGCTATAGGAAAATAAAATGTTTTAATTGTCCTTTACATTTTAATTGAGAATAAAAATAAAATATGACAGTCTTTTAACACATTAAAACACTACAAAATCATCTTTTAATACTTTTTCATCTTTTAGTATCTTTTAATATTTTTGATAGTCTTTTGAATTTTTCTTTGTCCTTGAGAAATTATACTGTATAATGGCAGTTAATGACTTATAATAAGATATATTTTAATAATTTATTGCACTAGTACTTTAAGAATACAAGTGGAAGCAATGAACTAAGATGGTTCTGGTTAGGACTAAAACTGTATCTCTCATGCTTTCGCTGATACAAATTTCTCAATTACAACTGCTTAACATCAAGGTCAACAAAAATCTGTTGCTGGTAATATTCAACACCACCAACAGCCTGTCAGTGTCAAATGTTACCTGAAGATTTAGTACTTAATGCCTAATTAATGAATATTAGTACACTACAATCTATTTGTTCATTGTTCATATGCATCCCCTCCCCAAGTGGTGCCCATGGCACATGCCCTAGTTTTTGTACCCTAGATACACCACTAGCTTAATTTGTCACAGGGACAAATGGAGAGAAATTAAAAGAAGATTATATTATCTCTATATTCTGATTAAGGAAGAATTTATTTACCCAGGAAATTAAACATTCTGGTTTTTACCTGGACTTAAACAAATCGTTATTACTGTTGTAATAAAATTAAAATTATTGAAAAGTTTGCCTTAGTTATATATCTTCTAATTAACAATTTTATAATATTTCATCTCAATTTTTGAATAACTTCTAAAATATATGTTATAGGAAACCTACTCTAACAAGATAGCTAATAAGCTTTTCTCAAAGATCAATACAAGGTTTGTCTTGAAAGAATTTAGTCAGTGGTATTTATCCATGTGCTTACAGAATGTGACACAAAGATCAAAGTTTAATGTGGGTTTTTCAGCAATATCATAGAAGAATTGCTGAAGCACTCTCAGCACATTACATTTTGGGAGAAGTTCCAGCTAGTTAGTTGATACTAACAAAAGATTAGCCTACTTCAGGCCCTCTTCATATTACTTTCCTTTTGGGCATCACACATTTATCCCACTATCCTTTTCAAAACTGTTTGCAGTGTCATGTTTTGGATTTGCCATCAGCTACCTCATTATATTCTCCTTAATCTCGTCCACACTTTTGCCAGAATTTGTGGGAATCCATGTCTGGACTGCATTGGTGGCACTGGCAAATGTGTGTGGTGTAATGTTTTCCCAAAAACCTAGCATGAAATCTGAAAAATCTACTTGTTCAAAGAAAGTAACCCCTCACCTTTTGTTCCAAGATTTGTAAGTCAAATGGGTTTATCATTTTTATGCAGAGTAAAAGAATTCTACATAGTTATTAGCTGTTTTTTTTATATTTTCACTGTATAAAGTTCAATTTTAGTGAATACTGTGCATTGACAAGGAAGGAGTGTATGTTGATTAATATGATTATACAATCTTTATTAACTGAATTTGGTCTGAATGTTCATTATATAATGCTGTATATATGTGATTAATAAAGAAGAGTGGACTTAAGTGCATTGACAATGAAGTAGATTATGTTGAAAAATAAACATTTATTGAATAAAATAGATACTTTTTCCATCCTTAGACTATGGACTTATTGGTATACCTTTCAGGAGAAGTTCACCAAAATGTAAATGATATATAAGATAATATACAGAAAAAATATTGGCTTATTGGGATATTAAGAAAATACTGTAAACAATCCTAATTAGTTTTTTTTGTAAAAGGTTCTCATTTTTATTGTTTATGGTTCACTGCTGTTATTATTAATATTTCACTAGTATTAAATTTACTAGTTTTCTTGGTTTTAACAATAGTCATCTGTACCAGGTACAATTAATTTCATTTTTAGAATTTTACTTAGAAGATTTTACTTTTATTTTTAATGAAATAAGAAGATTAATTCTGTTTTCTTCTTGGTCATAGTCATGAGTACATAATGCTAGACATTATACTTCATTAATTTTGGTACTTACTATGTTGTTTCTCCAGTTGTTGATAATTGTTTGCTTATTTGTATTTTATGCACTCATTAACATGTTCTTTTTTATATAATCCAGGTTTGACCTTTGAATTCAAGTATTAGTAAGGATTAATCAGGATTTAAAAAAAAATTAATGTAAATTAGAGGTGGAAATATATGAGGACTTTAATTATCTCTATGTCTTCTTTTGATATTTTTTCTATTTTTTGTTTATTTTTAATTACCTTAATTTTTTCTCTCTCTCTCACCCTCTCTCTTGCCCCCTCCTCTACTCCATATTTTTTCTTTCTCTCATGCCTCCTCCTCAAATTTCTATTTCAGAATTTTGTTTGACTTTTTATAGCTGTTAAAGAGATGGGCAATGTCCTACACCAACAGGATTTATGAGGATTTATTCATAAGAAGGATTGTATAAAAAAATCGAAGTTATTATAGAATGAAATGTTTTAACTTCATGAGCACTTGTTTTCTGCATATTACATACATGATTCTAGTAAGAGTTTCTTCACATCATGTTAGTCAGCTGTTGCATATCTCAATATTGAGAGATTATTTGGTTCCTTAAATATTTTTGTATTTCCCCTTATTTTTAAACTTCTATTCTTCTTTCCTGGAATCAAACAAATCATTTTTACTGTTATAATAAAATTAAAATTATTGAAAAGTTTGCTTTAGTTTATATCTTCCAATCAACAATTTTAAAATATTTTATCTCAATTTTTGAATAACTTCTAAAATATATGTTATAGGAAATCTACTTTAACATGATGGCTAATAAGCCTTCCTCAGAGATCAATATGAGATTTGTCTACAAATAATTTAATCAGTGGTATTTATCCATATGTCCACATTGTTACAGAATGTGACACAAAAATCAAGGTTTAATGTGGGTTTTTCAGCAGTACCTGCAAAAAATTGCTCAAGCCCCCCTCACATTAAATATAGTACATTTACGTATAAATATAATAATATTAATACCATTGTTTTATGTCATTATCAGATGATACTTTAATCAATAAATGACCAAAAGGGGTAGGGGTGTCTGCTTATTGCTGAGCAATCTTTGTAACCACTTCTACTTCTAGTGTGTCTCTTATTTCAGACATGCAAATAAGCTTGCCTCAGTGTTCCCTCCACCATAGACACACTTAAACATGATGATTTTGACTATCTGATTTCTGGGTAGGTGACATATATGTCTGTATTTTTTCTAATTCATAGAGTGTTTGTCTTTTTATCAAAGGTACCAAGGGTAAACATTTTACTGGGCAAGGATGGGTTCACATATGGCAGAGATGGCATTAACAAGGATCCTGATTTCAAATTCATGTGCATTCATGTGAATGTCATTTATAATATTTTTTTTTTTTATCTGTGCTATCTATTAACCTCAGGATGATGGAATTACAAAGTTTAACCAAATAGCTGTTTATCCTATCTGATTATCCATCAGGTAGCATTCATACATATGATGATTTTAATGTTTACAGTGAGGAAAGGAATTCACAAAGACAAAACCACCAAAGAAATAAATGATATCATGACCTCTCCATTGCATCATACATTGACCCCAGATCATTGATAAACCTAGTTGTCTTTCTGATATTACAGGGATTTCTCAACTCTTGTTTTGACAAATGTTCTCTGGCAGGCTTACATCTGTTGAGATCTTCAGACTACTCACTGACCTGTGTCAAGATTGATGCCAGACAAAAGGCATCCACTGATATCCTCACTTCATAGAAAAACTTTTTGACACTCCAAATTTAATTGGGAAGCCTTCAGATATTTTAATTGTGGCAGATAGTCTCACAGCCTTCTTAAAAAAATAACTCCCTGTACAGCTTTCATAATTTCTAACTGAATTCTTTCTAGCATGGAGAATTTTATACCTCACAAGAAATATCAACAAGGGTTGAATACTCAACCTTGGCTTAATTCTGAATGTACTGTTGCCACTAGTAACTACCATTACTACCATTTCTGTAAATGATGTAAGATACTTTTGCTATATTCAGAACTATCTAGAACTGTTTCACAATCATTGTGGACAGTTCTTAATTCAGGAAGGATCTCTGTGATAAATATTGTAGTAGTGATTATTCAGCTTTTGTTGGTATTTTTTTCTTTTATATAACATTTTCCATGCCAGAAACAATCCATTCATTGATGAGGGCTGCAGTTCTGGAGGTTCTATGTTTGAAAAATGCTGTGAGGAGCTTCTGATATATAAGATCTGAAGTTATCCCAGTCAGTTTTATTGCACCGAAAAATCACTGTATAAAACAGAACATCACAGGATGCCTTTGATTTGATATCAATTTTAACACCAACAAGTGACTGGTCTGAAGTGCCCAGAGAGGTAATACCACAGAAGAGCATTTTTTAGGGTAGGATGTGAGGAAGGATGCCCGGGAGGTCTGCTTGCTGTCATACTGTATTGTGAATATCAGTCGCTTTATCAATGATCTTTGTCAATTTATAAGCAATGGAGAAGTCTTGGCAGTAGTCTTCTTCATTGGTTTTGTTTGAGTGGACTAACCACTCCTTGTGATGAATATTAAAGCTTCCACAAATATGAATGGTAGTTGAAGGATGAGGCATCTTCACAACTATTTTGTATTGAGTTTAAATTTTATATACTTGCATAAAAAAACCAGCTAACAAACAAATATTGGTTTTTATTTAAGATGATATAAAATTTATGATATAATATTTATTCTGATAGAGATTTATTTTTTGTTAAAGTACTTTAGTTCAGATAACTAACTGATTTAATAATTCCAGATGTTTTAACTCATTTTTCTTCTATCTTATCAATAAAAGCTTTT